TGGGAAAGAAGCTCACCATGGGAGAAGCTCAAAAAAGGTGACAAAAGCTGCCCGGGCAACTATCGCCCTGTCAGTTTGACAAGTGTCGTTTGCAAAGTAATGGAATCTGTTGTGAGGGATCGATTGATAGATCATTTGACTAGTGTGTCTCGGTTGACCCCTTGTCAACTCCCCTCGCCAGAGCTGCCCGCGGCATTGCCTGATTGCTTTTTGTACGAATCAGGTACGAAAGTTTTGACAGAACGTTGTGACATTTATTATTGTCTAGCATTGAATACTGAAGTAAAATGTTATTTGTGTATCAATAATTGTTGCAGCAAATTTTTAGTTATTTCAATGTTTTCGAGCTTTGGCGCCTTGTAATAATGTACCGCAAATTGTAGAATTACAATAATGCTGCGTAAGTTTGTGCCGCAGATTTTGACCTTAAATTGAGAGAGTGTAGTAGTGCTGCATAGTACTGTACTGCAAAACGTGACGTTGCAATAATGCTGTGTTATACTATACTTTATCTTGGCACGGTGCCGAAAAGGTGCGTACACAGTACCGATGACCGATGTTGCGACGACAGATCGACCTTCACGAACCCTGTCTTCTGAAATTCATTTCTTAATGTTAAAAGTATTAAGTACAGAATTAAACTCTGGGAGATAATTTAAACCATTGATTTAGGAAGACTCGCAGTATTAATCGTTAAAAGAAGAGGATATTACTTACGATATTGGTCATTTTTACCGTTATACTCATACATCTCCAGTCATTATTTGCTAGCAATGCTTGAATCAAGATTTAACTGAAAAATTGAATCCTGGTAACGTCAGCCTAGATAAAGGCTACAGTCTCTCTCATGATTTTCATCGTCCATGATCGACATTCCTTTTTATTCATTTTCTCTCATTTATTTCTCAATCTGCTTCCCATTAACTTTTTTCTTCTCTTGCTTGTCTCTGCATCTCCCCTCTCGTCTCCTCTTCATCCTCTTGCCATCAGCCACTAGGCCGAGCGATGGTCACGCTGGCGCTGCGGCCGCTGCCCCTGCCCTGCCCGTCAGTGCGGCGACAGTCGCGTTGCGGCAAGGTTGTGTGCAACACAATCACCTCATACCGCAATGCCCGAATTAGCCTCAACTCGAGTGAAGTTGCAATAAGTCATCTCATTGTTCTATTATTATATCTTTTGTTTAATTTTCACATGTCTCGAATGGTAATTGAGAGTGTTTAGCAATGGAATGCATTCGTGGCATTCTTCCATTTCCATGACGGAATAAAGAATACAGTTGATATTGCAGTCGTGAGCGTCAGGTGGAACTGCCACGCGATGTGTGTTCTATACCCGGCCTGTGTTGCATTGCCGCCAAAAACTATGAAATTTATCACAAATACTGCGACGTAAAATTAAGCGGAGAAGAAAAGACAAATATCGAAACTCGCTGCGTCCCATTGCAGTGTATAATTAAGCAAAGATTATTCGCTTGGTAGTAATTGTTACCCGCTGTCGTTTTGATTAATGTTAGCAATAGCGGCGGGTCAAGCGGGTGTAATGACTGCTAACTGACTTGAGACTCGTAGTTTTTTGCCGATAATTTGATTAATTTTAAAAAGATTCTCTATTTCATTCCTTATTTACCATTGAGCATTAATATATTGCCTACCTGTGAATTAAATCCTTTCAGGAGGATCTCATATGTTGTAATTAGAAGCAATTAGTTACAAAATGTAAATTTTAGTTGATAACCGAGTGAAGACAATTTGAAGATCATTAAGCGATAACAGCAAATTTTTTGTGCAATTTATATGCTAGGAATAGAAAGTGAAGTTTGTTGGTCATAGACCTATACAGCAGCAGCAGCAGCAGCACAATTACGTTTAGTTGCGTGAGGTAGCGCGGTGAAGAATAAGGAGGCCACAACACGCGCAGTTGTTGGTCGAGCTGAGTGCTCTGAGCTCGTCTCCTGGGCCTCTGTTGTCAGCTCACCGTCATCTTTGAATCTCTAGAGACGTGAAAAAAATGTGAAATGTTATAGTTTTGTGAATCTTCTGATGTTGAACGATAGCTATGGATTGACTGGTTGTTTGATTTTGACGAATTGTTGTGTAAGATCTTGGGTGTAATTGAAAATATGGATTGTAATCATGCCAACAATTTTTCTGTTTCAAACTTTGTAGTTTTTTTACGCGTAATAATTTTCGTTTCTCACGGAAAATGTTCTTTCAAAGGACTGCATAGAAATACAAGCACATATCGGCAGTGACATTAATGAATCTTTTACCGTTTGCAGCCCCGCTCTACTCCAGCATGATGACAATCTTACGCGCTGCTCCCGAACATTGCATGCAATTTAAATGCAGCTCGTCGGCGCGGCGACAGAGCAGGCGTTCAGTGACGGCAAAACTAAACATCGCAGTCTGGGGCGATATCGCAGTCTGCGACAGTACCGCAGTCTGGGGCGATAAAACGTTCCTCATGACAGTTTCACAGTCTGGGGCGATAAAACTTTTCCCCATGCCAGTATTGCTGACGTCTCCCCATTTTTAGCGGCTGACTCTGATGCGAGAACGTCAAGAGATTGCGGCGTCGCAGAGGCGGCCGCGACTGCCGGTTCGCTGATTCAATTTCGCCAGCTTGGGGCGCTTGATGAGCTGCCGTCGGGACCTGCAGATTAAAACAACGCGCGGCCCTCATGATGGAGATGCTCTTTAGGGCTACGTCGGCAGCTGCGAAATTCATTATTGTTCTGCCGCGCACCAAACTTATTTCAAAGGCTGATGAGAAGTTATCAAATGTTGTTTCAAGGCGATCCAACCGCCAGTTACTTCTCTTCTGCAGCAGCCAGTTGTTTCAAATTTTTTTGGTTTCAACTCAGTTATTTTTGTATTTCTTGTTGTTAGTTTTATCTGTCGCCAAAAAATTTCAATATCATTTTCATTTTGGCCGCTAGCGGTTTTACAAAGATAAGCAATTGAGAAAAATTCTATTTCAATTCAAGAGCAATGATGTTGCCTCTTGCTGAAAAATCTTTCTGGCAAAATGTGCTCATTTAGTGAGCAAGGCTTTTTAGTCCATATTTATGAACGTGGACTCCAAGTTTGGATGTAAATCGCAGCCTGAGCTCGGCCACGTGCTGCGCTCAAGCCTCTTAAATATTCATCAACGGATAAAAGTATCGCATAATTTGGACGAATAATAGATTATGGTAATACCACAGGCGCAGTCTGTATCCATTCTGCGGATCAAAGTAAATGATCGTTGAAAAGACTATCATTTACTCCATGTACTCCATTTACTTTATTTACTCCATGTACTCCATTTACTTCATAATGGTTATAATGGTTATATGGTTAAAAAATATTAGTAGTGATTGTCTGCACCATACTTGATTGTCCAAGTTGATTGTCTACATAATTGTGCAATTTAAAAATTATATGCATTGCAGGGTCATGAGGGAGCGTTTCAAGTTTTTGTCTCACTTTGCCATCGGTTGACGGTTGCCGTTCGAAAGTTACGTGTGGAATTTTGAGTTGTTCCTTCGCTATTTCCTGCTAATCAAAAGCTAAAAATGTCCCATTGATTTGATTCCAACCGTCGAGTATTAGCGGCGATATTGTTGGAGATGTTTCTGAACTTTGTGCACATGATGTGAGTTGGTAACCTCAGTAATTATGTGCACAGAATAGGCATTTCTATGAGAACTCGGCCTGAGTGCTGCTTCTTCCACCGCCGTCCTTGCGCTCATCGATTGTCTTGGCCACCAACCACTCAGCTGCAGTGCTGGGCGCTCAGTGCTTGCATCCGCGCCTCTGTCGTGTGCTTGCATCCACGCCTCTGCCGTGTGCTTGCATCCGCGCCTCTGCCGTGTGCTTGCATCCGCGCCTCTGTCGTGTGCTTGCATCCGCGCCTCTGTCGTGTGCTTGCATCCACGCCTCTGTCGTGCGCTTGCATCCACGCCTCTGTCGTGTGCTTGCATCCGCGCCTCGGTCGTGTGCTTGCAGTCGTGGGCACGTTCCATGCTTGCATTTGAAGCTTCTTATCGTGCATGAGGAGCAGGAGGCCGCTGTGAACAGCTAAATTCGACTAACTTAACAAAGTCCCTAACAAAACACGTTATTCCTGCGATACTAGTATGCTTCAAGAGCCTAATTTAAAACTTCTGAAATCACTTTCTCAAGCTGTAGAGTTAGCTTTGAAATCTTCATAAATCTAAAGGTTATATAGCCCTGAGGCCCGTCTGACCTTATCTCACCGAACCCCCAACGTAACAGTGCGCTCGGGCTTCCGCTGCCTCACAGCTTGAGAGCCTCCCTTTCCACCCATGCCCCTTCCTCCAGCCCTGTGTTCTGTCTCCCTTCTCTACCTCCTCTTTATTTCCCTTTTCTTGATTTTTTCATCCCTCATCACTTCTCCGTCCTCGTCTTTTTTCTCGCTTTCCCTCAATCTTCATCGTTTCCCACTCCCTCGTCCCCTGCAATTATTTACTCATATGCCGTCAATTCTTGCTTCACAGTCTCGCATTACTCCCCTCGCTCCCCTCTCTCCCCTCGCTCCCCTCTCTCTACTCCCTCACTACCCACATCCCCTCACTGCCGACCTTGACCATGGAGTAGAGCTGGGCTGCTATATTCAGGCTCCAGCCTTGGGATCCTGCCTGCACTACTTTGCTCGGCTCAAAATTAGCTTTTTATTATTATTTTTAACCTTCGCAAGTAATTGCATTACTTTCAATGTACAGATAAGTATTAGATGTCTCAAAGATATCCTAAGAAGTAACAGAAGTTGCTCTGTACAAATGCTGATGTAATGGCCGAGATAACGTAATGGATGTGAGAGCGCCTCTTGCTCGCTGTCGATCTGAAAAAGTTCTATGTGCTAGCACGTACTGCCTCTATTAGCATTTGATTTTCTTCAACGTCTTCTGTTAATACATACCTCTAGTTGGATATAAATGCTTGATTTTGGCTAATTGTAATTACCTTTCTATTCCTATTTATGCCCAACAGAAAAAAGCTATAGGCTCAAGGCCCAGATAGCATGGATCCCATTTGGGCCCGTGCTTCTCTTAGAGCAAACAGTGGGTAAGAGCCCAGTTTAATGAGACAAGAAGTGCATTGCAATGTTCAAAAGAGTGCGGAAACTCTCAGGATTCCAGGCAAAGAATGAAGATGAGAAAGAAAAAGAAGGAAAATCAGGGAGGAAGAAATCCCCCAAAGTGGTGGACATGCAACCGTTGCCTAGGCAGGAGAGTGGGGGCTCTTCAAGCGTCATCAAACCTCTCCATCATGACTCTGATGAGCCTGAAAATATATCCAAAGCCACAAGGAGGAAGGATTCTAGCAAATGTGCTCTGACCATCAGTGATGACCTCACCAGGGATCGCAGAGAACTTCTGCCGTCTACGACTCTATCCGTAGCCGATCCAGGGGATGGCTTCTGCGGAGACGTTGACATGGCCCACACTGAGCATCAAGTTCCGGGAAGAAATGGCGCTTCAAATAATGACACGATATTACCTGGAGAACGACACGTGGAGTTTGGGAGCATAATTGCTATACAAGCTCCAAACTCGCGTAGGAAGACGTCGTCGTCAGGCAAGTCGTCGCCAAAGCTCCATGGTTCGCCATCTAGGTCGAGGTCTCCAAAATCTAAATCATGCGGACAGCTTCGAGTTGCACAAAGTCTGGATGAAGGTACGTCAAAAGTCAGTCATGTCCACAAAGGAATCATGAAGTACGACTCTGCTCATGGAAAACTTGCAAAAAATGTCCCTGATCAGCCGTCCATTGGAGGTGTCCCCGCCTCCGTGGTAAGTCCCACCAGCACGTCCATTATCATCACTCAGCCATCATCTTCGTCGCCGTCCCCGACTAATCCAAACAAAGGCATTAAAGTAAACCAAACTAATGATAACATAAATAACCTCTCCGTGTCAGGTAGCAATTCAAGTCCACAGACAAGCATGGCAGAAGCCACAAATACCGCCACAGAAGAGTCTAAGGCTGACCAAATAACTGACGGTGAGAGTGTCAGACCGAAAGTAGGATCCCCCAAAAAGCTCTCGTTTATCGCTCCTCCGGACGTCGTTGAAAGTCTAGGCGCTCATCGTGTGTCACTTCAAGATTCAAATCTGAAATCCGGTTGGTCACAATCGCATCCGTCTCTCCACACGTCGGCTTTACGCTCGCCTTCCTTCTCGCTCTACTCCCCTTATGCATCTCGAACATTCATCCCGCCAGTCCATGGCGCCAAAAAGCGAGGAGCAGGAGGGAGCGCCGTCACCATAAGGAAGCATCATTCCCTGTCTTCTGTCCCTCAGGGATCGTCTACTCCCTTAGCCGTGCACAAGAAGTTCTCCATGCCAGCCTCTCATTCAACTTTGAGTGTCGCCACGAAAACGAGTGGTCGAGGGGCGGTGAAAACTATGCTGGTACGCAAGTGCCACTCGTTCAGCTCGTCGTACCACTCGCCTCTCACGTGCCCTGTGCGCCGGTCCTCCATGTCACTCTCGCGGAGTGGCAATCGCAGTCACCCCGTCAGTCCCAAACGCAAGCCCTCGAGCGTCTACTTGGCGGTGTCGTCGTGTGTTTGCTGCAGGTACCGGCACACAATTTCTCTCCGCAGTGGTGTTAATCACTTTTAACTACTACAGAAATACAGAATGATGCAACTGATACCTTATGAAGATGATGAAAAAAAACTCGATAGAAAAATCTAAAACTGATATTATAATTTAATTGTAATCTTTTTCTAATTAAATATTCTAATTTCCTAGTCAAAAAATCTGAATTCGGAGACAGAATCCTGTCCCTCGACTCGGTATATTAAATTACGTGCATAAAGTCTTTAAATTAAATTGTGCACGCAATTACCGGATTTCACTGGGTAATAGAACTGTTGCCAGTATTGTTCTTACCATCAGACAAATTCTCATTCTTGTTTATAGTTTCCTCAAAAATTGTGCAATATATGGGCTAATAGTTCGCAGTTTGCAGCGCCGTCTACCGAGCTGATAAGCGATGTCTGCACCTGATCGACCAGCTCCCTCGGGATATGCAGGAACATCACAGGACTCATTAGCGGGACTGAAGCGCTTTATATAGGCTCATTGGACCCTCAGAGCTTATTCGTTATCAGACGCAACTGTGAGCCGAGTAGGGTTAATCATTTCTCATACATTTATAGCATATAGTTCAACATGTAGAGCTGTTCAGGGCATTCGACACCTGCTTAAACTCGAAGCACTTTAACCCCAACTTGTTTCTACCAGCACGTGTAAGCTTCTCCAGCAAGGTAATCACCGACAAACTATTACTACAAAGTTTTCTTAAATTTGACTAACACAACAAAAGTGCCTCATGCATGCGAACATTTATTTAAACGTATTACGTATTTTATTTGGAGATAATAATATTTAGAGTTACTAGATCTCGGTCCCACGGTACACCCTAACTACATCAAGCCTTACAAAGTTCGCGAATAAAGTGCGTCCTACGTCCACTGTCCATGAGCGGTTCTCCTAAGTTTTAATGAGCCATTAAGGGGAATGGCTGAACCTTTTAAATAACATTTATGGTACGAAAACGGCCGCCCTGTCACCACAGAGCTGCCATTAACGATCCACCTTTGATTTACTGTGACGTTGATACGCTTCAGGCACAGGGAGAAGGAGTTCCTCATATCTCTGCCGTGATGTCAGGGCAGTTGGTTTAATTGGACAGGAGCTAATATGGCGCCCGTTGAGGTCAAAAGGTCAGGCTGCTGCAGGTAGCAGTTAATTGCTTATAATCTCCAGATCCACATTCTGCGACCGGCAGAGCGTTTTGCAGGCTTGCTAATATCCCAGATTATCCCGGGACTGTTTGGTTTGTCGCCGAGTCGCGATCAATGCGAAAGCGTGAGTGCGTCAGTAATCGAGCTCAATTTTTGTCATCGTTCTTCCAATGTAATTCGGATGGTTCACTCCATTTCATGAAAATTTAAAGGAGTTTTAAAACTTATATGTGGCAATGAATTTTCCCGAAGGACACGATGGTCCATGTTGATAATTTGCACTTTAATATGGTCGACTTAATTACTGAGTGCTGTGCGTAATTCAAGTTGTAACATAGCGCCATTGTGCGTCTGAAACTACAGCTTCTTGTTACGATCCTCTGCCCCACGTGAAAAATGTATGTTTCTCTATAAGAGATTCTGCATACAACGTGCTGGGTGGATGGATATTGGAGCATAATGCATTACTAAGTAGCATGATACTCTTGCATAAGCATACCATCCTACTCTCTTGGAGACACGAACGTAGGCGATGCCATCTCCTGAAACTGGTAAAGTCTCGTCTTATAAAATTTACGATCATGAATTTTTCCGTTCAGAGTTTCCATGCCGTCCTCCAGACTTCGCATGAACAGCGTTCGAAGAAGGCTTCGGAAAACGTCCCGCGCGGACTGACTTAAAATACAAAATCAGTGCAGTTGCGTGTGCGAATTATTTGGTATTCGAAAATAAATTAATATCATCGTTGACTGAAAAGATGCAATGATGCGGTTTTAAATCTTCAAATATATTTACATAATGCTTGGCGTGAAGCCATCCAAATTTTTCGGAAATGAAGCATGAAACTCGTATTATTCTTGGTTTGTCAAAAAATAAGAAAACTTAACACACTAATAAAATAAACGACCTCGAAAATTCGAAAGTAAAAGATTATGTATATCTATTATATTTTAATATGTGAAAACGAGATCCGCTCTGCCGGCTACTGGCTGCTCAACCGTTGAACATTAAAAACATTATAGTTACTTTTAATCAAAGTTCGCTTCATAAATCAGTAATATGTCACGGGATTCACGCTAGAAAAATGTCCTAAAAATAAATAATATTGTTTCAAAAACTTGTTTGATGTGAACTTTCATTTGAAATCTGCCTCAAATGATATATAAGTCGCCACTCGGCACATATATAATATAGTGCACATTACTCGCCGTTCCTCACAAAAAAAAAAAAACAATATTAGACTGGTCAGACCTACGAGTTGTAGGGTTCGATTAAAACAAAATGAAACTGTTTTGGTCTCAATTGGAAGTTGTGGTTCAGTTTGTTTAGAAAAAAAGATCGTTATTATTGACGGCAAGCGACAAGTATTTTGGCGGCTTAATTTGCGTCGTCGTTACTTTAAAGGCACTTGTACAATGTACATTGTGGCTAGTGACAAGTGCAGCTGCGCTCTCAGTGATGTCTCTTGTCTCGTTGGCTGAAGGCGTTCGGTTGTCCTATCAGCTCGGGCTCGGAGATCAACTGTGCATTATGGTAACTGCGCGCAGACTCCCACCCAGCAGACACAACTTCCCTTTTATTTAGGTTCTTAATGTCACAGATTACGTCATTATATCTCAATTCAGCACTAAGCCTCCAAGCCATGTTCACTCATCAAGTTTATGCAGGAATGACTTATATTGTTGTGGCGAGAGCGGCACTCCGTACTGTGCATTAGTTAACTGCGCCCAGACTTCCACCCAGCAGACACAACTTCCCTTTTATTTAGGTTCTTAATGTCGCAGATTACGTCATTATATCTCAATTCAGCACTAAGCCTCCGAGCCATGTTCACTCATCAAGTTTAAGCAGGAATGACTTATTTTGTTGTGGCGAGAGCGGCACTCCGTCGTTCGACCTGAACTCCTGATATTGCGTCACCAAGTGTTGCCTCGGAGCGATATTAATCAGGCGCCAGGACAAGAGCTGACACGTGACTCGAGCAATGCTTTTGAAGTCTCGTTGCCTCTTTACATTGCCTCACAAAAGCAGCTTGTCTCTTCTCGTTGCCAACACTGTCGGTGTGTCATAAACTACAGGAGCTCATCTCGCTCAATCCCGAGTGTCCCGCGCAGGCAATGTCGCTCGTACGAACAGTGGCGTATGTTGCCTTTAATTCTATTTCCTTTTGACACTTAAAATAGAATGTTTCGAATAATAGTGATCGGTCGGAGAATATGTTAGTTGTCTAAGTAATAGTAATGAATTTTTGAGCAAATCTTTATTTACTCGCAAGCAGATTGCCCATTTATCAGTCTCTAATGAAGAGGACTCGAGGCACAGACTCGGCTTTATTTTGCTGTTTTATGACGGAAGCTCGAGCTTCAAGCGTCGTGGTACATCTACTGTATATACTTGTCGAGTACAGCCTTACCCGCATATTCAATTTTTATTTACTATATGTTTTTTGAGTTGAAGTGTGCAATGAAGTTGTATGTTATCGAAATGTCACACTCTGTTCCAATAATTTCGCGCTGGGGGCTCAAGTCAAGAACCCCACTCGAGTCCCAGTTAAGTTTCCATGCGTCCTACAACTTAGAAAAAGAATTTGTTTTACTAAGTAAGAAATCTATGCGTTTTGGCACGAGATATGTTTCACAGATTTGGGCCTTTCTTTTAGAGGCAGCATTGCTATCTATTTAACTTAGAGGACTAACTACAGCTCGGCTCTGCTGCAATCTGATCTGTAATTAAAGAGCCTCTTCTTATTTTTTATTCATCAAGTCAACTATAAATACGAACGTCCTCATACGATCATATCTAAATTTCATGTGTAATTCGAAAAACCCTGAATGATGAATCTATACATCATGAATCTAGAGATGTAAAATATTCGTTAGAGATATACAGGAGCATACGTGCTAAATTCAGAGAAGTGACATGAGCGTTATACATGCTGAATCCTGAGCTCGTGTGAGTGACAGCGCTGAATATCCTCGTTGGTTATTGGCCGGAATCATCGATCCGGATGATAAGCGACCAAATGTTACGGTGCTGTCAGGATGGCTCTCCGATCATACATTATGGCGACCCTCCATTATATTGCGAAATTCTCTGCTTTCTATCTACAAGATCATTAAAGTATCGTGCAGCTTATTAGCGAATAGTGGATACTCTGGATACCTTTAGCTTTCGCAGTATTTAGTGTATCACAAATTGTTAGTCCGCCGTTATTTTCATTGACATTTGAAATTAATCTAACCTTTCTTGTCATTGTCTATTTCACATGCGTGTCCGAAATAAGGTTCCTACAATTGATAAATTCCTTTCTCCTCAGAATCCGGAGCCAAGAAGGTTCAGGCTTAACGATCCGCATACCACGGCCGCTGAACGACCGAGGAACCTCGCCTCCCAGGGCTGTGTCCTCCTGCTCCCCTCCTGCCGTGCCCCGGTACGCCCAGCTCACCACCTCCAGATACGCCTACATGGCGCCCCTCACGATGCCGGGCTCGGCGGCGCCCGTGCCCAAGTCTAAGTCTCTGAGTACGAGCATGGACAAGCTGCCCTATGGCTTCCATCATCACATGTCGCCTTCCTCCAGAGGATCGACGCCCTCCAGCGGCCGCTCCTCTTCAACAGCTCCTCCTTCTGCTGCTACTTCCAGACCACCTTCCAGGCGATCGCCGTCAGCAGCGTCGGCGCTCGCAGCCACTCACCCGACGGCGCCAAGTAATAACACACTTGAATTTGTCTGGAAATTTATGGTCACGATGAAGAAATGGAATGTTGAAGGAATCATAGAATGTATTAGCGAGTATCACCTTTCGACAAATTTTCAAAGCAACTCGTTCTCGAACCACACAAGATCTCGTAATACAGACGCACTATCTCTGAAATTATTAACAGGAAAAAATAAAGCACGTATAGTTATACCGTTAATAAAATCTCAATTACGTAACTGATTCACGCACTGCCAAATGATGATAGTTCATCTAGATTTAAATCTCTCTTTTTATTAGAATTAGCACTAATGAAGTAGGATTATGTTTCATAATCAAATTTTTTATTCTTCTGAAGGTTGTCGAGACAAGTCCCGTTCTCCGTGCGGTAGCGAAGTCTCACTGAATTCAGGCGTGTCGAGCAGCACTTCAGTCAAGTCTCTGCCATCAGTTCGGTCCAATTCATCAGCTTCAGGAGGCCGATCGTCTGTCTCCGCCGCTCGTCCCTCCCCAACGAAGGCTTCCCAGCACCAAAGCCCCACCAACAATGCAGTCGAAACTGTCCATGGTTCTCTTGCATGCCGGGGAAAAGTGTCTTGTGGCTCTAAAGTTAGCACCGCTGAAAACACTTCTCATGGAAGAAACTCCAATCGATGCAGTCCGGTCTATCGGGGTGCCAATTCCGCCAACAACGGCACCAAGATAAACGCATCCAAAACCAACGGATGTTCGAAGCCTTCGATTGTAGCAACACATCGGAAAAATGCAGTAGTTACTCGCCCTGTTGGTATTGCTGATGGCTGTGTTAAGGCAGAACCCAGTGATTCTGTTGGTTTGTCTGGAGGAGAAGCAGGTTCTAACGAGTTCCATTCTCCTGCCTCAATGCCGCACGAACCCTCGAGCTCCCCACCAACGGCTGCGCCCAGCTTACCAGGAACGAACACAACCCCTAAGAGAAGATCTGCGTCTTGTACAACAGCAGAAGTGTCCTATTCACCATCTCCTACAGCAAGGTGAGCTCATGCAATAAATTCGCTTTGCGTACTCAATAACCTTGTTCTTTGTACTGGGAATATAATCAAAAATTCCGGCAACGATTCGAACGGTCGCAACGTTTAAGTCAATTTCATTAATAAATAAAATGTTCTATATCATATAAAAAAGTCTAATTTCAATGGATTATTTTGAATGAATATGTAAATTTTTGTCTGAATGCATTGAATATGTGATTTTACCGTAGTAATAGGAGAAGAAAACTTGCGAGGGCCCTTCGTCAACAGTTTACCACAATTAAATGAATTCCTCTCCTGTAATCAACAATACCTAGAAGCAAAGGTTGAGCAGTTGAGAACATATGGGCATCATGAAGGCAATCTTTAGTGTCACTTTAAACTTTTTATAACATCACTGGGCAGAGAAGCTCAACGATTTTTCGAAAGTATTTTGCTGACATATTGCGTTGAAAATAGGCTGGTTGCACAGTTGGATAATTCTTTGAATGACGCAAGCTTCAAGAGTTGGTAAATGATGTATCGATGATACGAGTACGTTGAACTCGTTAGCCGAAGTTCACAAAAACACAAGCGCAATATTCACATCACAACTTCCAATCAATCAAATGAAATAAGAAAACGAACATTGTTTTTTTCATGCTTTTTTTGGAAGGCTAATTCACGGTATTCTTACTCGTCGAAAACTATGGCTGAGTCTGACAAGAGGTTACTGGTAGACCCCGAGTTTTCGAGTAACATTTTAAAAATTAAAATTTTGACTCGTTCACTCATATTCCGAAAAAGGAATTATTTTTACGCTCTGTACGTTTAAATGTCGATTAAAATGAAAATTAATCAATATGTTTTTGAACGCCTGTCTCTAATTGGGGCGCATGCCGGAGGCTAGCTTTGCTAAACTTCACACTTACTTCGTATTCCTTTTCGTGTGTAAGAACACAAAGGGGCATAAAGGCCTATAAAGTCGACTGCTTAAAACCCAAGCGTCGGAAGTCCGCAGCTACAACTTAAGCTTGCCAAAAGTATGCATGGCTAAAATGGATCTTGCAAAACATTTTCCTTATTTCTTTGAGCATAACCTACACAAGTTGCAACATTCCTCCAACAAAATAAACTTGAGCGGACCTAACCTAACCTCATTGGCTGCAGAAAAATAGAAAGGCGGTTCAAATGTGCAGGTAGAACCAGTCATTGGCTGCTAGAAGGTTTTGAGTCGGGACAGCGTGATGAGGTTAGGCCGGAGTAGGCACAACCGGATGGGGAACTGCCTGCTTAACAGCGAGCATGCTGAAGACCTACGGCGCTTTCATCTTTCGGCAGTGTGTCGCTTATCTGGATTACGGAGTTGAAGCGTAGCCGGCGGCTTCTAGTTCTGAGGCTGAGTAAAGTTAATGCATGGTGAAGCTAGGCGTTGGCTCCAGGGCTTATTTAAGAGTAAAATTTGTGGTCTACGGCTGCGCCCCCTAATTAAATATCTGCTGAAATCCTACGGCGCTTTTATCCTTAGGCTGTGTGTCACTGGTCTGGATTACGGTGTTCCAGCGCAGTCTGTGGCTTCTAATACCACAGTATTAGAAGCCACAGACTGCGCTGACATAGTAAAGTTAATTAAATATAATTATTAAATTAAAGTTAATTAAATATGACACAGACTGCGCCACATAGTAAAGTTAATTAAAGCATGATGAGATTGAGCGTTGGCTCCTGGGCTTATTTAATTGTAAAATTTTTGGACAACGGCTGAGCTCCCCTTAATTTGACTGTTATGTGACCGAAAAACCGCTGTTCTCATCACCGTAAATATTAACAATCCGATAGCTCGTAAATTTTTATTCATGTCCATCGAAAATATTATTTAAGTACATTATTTCTATCGGTGTATGTAACGCAGGCCATATAAGTGTTTTATTTCATTGATCAATTCAAATACCCACCATAAATTTAAAAATAGAATGTTTTACACATTTATTCGTGCATTTTCATAGCTGTAAAAAGCTGTGTAATTCGTGCATTTCCATTCGTGGACGCTATTTTACTTTAAAATATGTATTGAAACATAGAGTTTCGAGGTTTCAATGTCAAAACTGCTTAGGTCACAAAAATGAAGTGAAATGTAGTTAAATTCACTAATAAACTGGTAAATAGATGATGCATAAATGATGTAGGTCAGCTGTGTTTCTCTTTTCCTTGCTCCTCCAACTGCAGAATTTTCAACTGCGAAGAACAAAAACTATGTCGTTTCGCTTGGTTGGCTTCTACTGAACGAGAGAACGACAAAGCTAATATAGTTTGAGGCTGAGCGCAAGGAATTTCGTTAGTTTGAGCTTGAAGAATTGATTGAAGTTTAAGGTATGATTAATTTTTTTTACCTAGAAATTGTGCAATCATTCATGCATGCTTCATATAGAAGCTTTCTGAAATTCTGAGTTTGCTGTCGATATGTTGAAACACGAGGCCTACTCTGAGTCTGAGCGACTAAGCCTCACTGAGCCAGGAAGTTAGAGTGACTGTTAGACCATGGTTTTTTTTCATTGGTCAGTTGGTCTGACATGGTAAAATTCTAAGTTTGGAAATTGGAGTTACCTTTAGCTTCAGCCTTTAAGTCTTGCTGGGTCTGCCATGCAGCTATAGGCCTATCTAGCTATTTGTGAGTTGTGAATGTGACCAATAGGCTACTTGCACTTGATAACCATATGAAGGAAGCCCTGAGGGTGGGGCTTGCTGTTTTTCTGTTGTTTCCCTACTGCATGTAGCTAATTGTGTTATTTGTGTACCTATTTTATTGCTTTTGATAACAACAAATAACTTTCAATTCATGCTCAATAACCCAAGGGGCATAGTGGCAAACCAGAGCTCTTTTAGAATCAGTTCATTATTAATTTCCTCATTTACTCAAGATTTAATCAAATTTCTTAAGTATTATAATGTTGGTATCCAGGATACTTTACTGGTCTACTTATAGGACTCAAAAATGAACTTGAGGGAGAGTCTAAAAAACTCTCTGCTTTGCCACTATGCCAAGGGGAAATTTCACTTCCCCAACAGCAACAGACGTACTAACATTTTGTACCTACATTTTTGCACAGTTACTACAGTATGGCAAATGAGTGCGGACTGCGAATTTGGAAGGAATATCTATATTCAACCATAGATTTAGGTAATTCTTTTGAAATATAGGGCAAACGCGGTATATTCCAACAGAATGAAACTATAGAGACAGAATGAAACTATATTCCGTCAGAATGAAACTATATTCCGTCAGAATGAAACTTTTCATCAAGAAATGAAAAACTATAAAAAAATAACCGTATGCGTTACTTGAGTTCTGTTTGCTTTAAGTGACTCTCAAAACACTGCATGACGCGCCAGCAACAATGAAACGTCACAAAGTGTTGCCATATTTATTTAAAAGCCTTCAGAATGCAAACCTACCAAATCCCTATATTCCGATGCTGTGTGTGACTAAATTCGGCACGTTGTGAGACAAATTCTGGCCGCGCTTCAAACTCTACTAATACGTAATTTTGACATCATTGTGTTCGAATTCCGATCGCTGTGTGAGCTGTATTGGAATACGACACGGCTTTGAATTAGAACACTATTGAATATTGAACACTGCTTAATTAGGCTTTTAATTAACAGCTATTAAGCTTTTATATGGCGATTGGCAAATGAGTGCGGACTGCAAATTTGGAAGGAATATCTATATTCAACCATAGATTTAGGTAATTCTTTTGAAATATAGGGCAAATGCGGTAGCTATATTCTGACAGAATGAAACTATAGAGACAGAATGAAACTATATTCTGACAGAATTAAACTTTTCATCGAGAAATGAATATTGAGATGGCCCAAACCTAGTGTTTTGGCAATAGTTTGGCGCGCAAAGGTATGACGTCACTATTTCAACCATCAACGAATGCGTGGAACTAAGGCAAAGCTTAATTATAAAGGAAAAACTAGAGAGGTGTCTGAATTACCCACGATGTCGGAATATACCGTGTTTATCCTAATGTATCACTTCCACTGTTCCACAGAATTAAAAAGTAGTTGTGCAATGATGCGTGAAATTTTTACCGTGAGAAGCACAGCCATTTATTCACGCATTGGTTGCGTTCACATAACTTGACATAAGATTTGTTTCCCAAGCTCTACGACAGGCATGAACATTTTTCCAGGTCTAGTAGCTGCTGCACCAGCTCCAACTGAGCTGCTGAGGTTTGCGGTGCGCGTCTGACATTGAGCTGATGCTCATTCAGTCATTGCTTCCCACTCGGAATTTCTACTGATTTTGTTTCCCGGATTGCGCGATGGAGTTCTGTTAGAATGATATTATTATAAGCTTCCTGCAGAATTAGTAGCAATTTTTAGCCGCTTAAACCAAAATATCCTGCGGAGTTCATTAGCAGACATACTAGTTCGTCTGATATCCCATTTGTTCCAATTGGGCTTAATAACCTTCCAACACTATTGGCATTGCAAAAAGCATGTAATATAATGAACCAAATATTTTCATTAAGAACACTGTCTATTACAAGTTACAACCACCTCCAAATCTTGCCCAGCACAGGAAATGTATGGTCATGCATCGGAGTGGAATTATGGTCAAAGACCGACATACATTCTACTTTTGTCGGTCCGCCTTGAGCCGTCATTCCGGCAGACTAAACCAGGCCCATGGCCCCTATCACCAGTCTAAACCTGGCATGAACAAATTATTTAAATAAAACTTGATTGATTTAAATAATGAGTACAAATTTGAGCGTTGAAATTTCTAAGTTGCTTCCGTTGGTTTAAAAATGCCATAAATGACTTAAGATATGGCAATGAGCAATGACTCACTTTTATCAATTGTTCCACCATCTTTATTCTTCCCCCATGCCGCTCCCTTTCCCCAAGTTCAGGCCTTTGTTTCTGTTTCAGCATGGCCTTTGGTGTGTGTCCCTAAACACTCTGGGTATGTCAGCTTCTAACTCACTACATTGAAATTTCAATGTTTGGAGGTTGACAATACTGTTAATACCTCAATCAAAATTATTTTCAAAAACTTGAGTAGTTCCTTTGCTCGCCACTGCAGCACTGCTGGTGCTGCCACCTGTGTGTGGGCTCTTCTAGCACCATCTATCTGTATGTGGGCTCTTCTAGACTTGAAATTTTGCTTGCTTTCTTGTTTCTTATTCAATTTTATAAAATTAAATAATTTATACAATAATTTTTATTATTAAATATCAACAAATAGACTTCATTCTATACTACTAATTTCATTCTACTTTTAGTAGAATGAATATACTTCTTGTACAATTTTTTCATTTTTCTCCTGGCTTTTGTTCATAGAAAACTTTTAACCATAAATGTTGCTAAGACAATCATAATGGAGAATTCACGTGATGACTTTATTACATGTTTTACTTTGAAATTCTAATTTAAATGTTGAATGTTGAAAAACTCCACCACCCCTAACCCTTTTGCCATCTGCATGAATGCATAAATCAGCATACAGAGATGGTTTTGGTACCGTTGGATAGGTCAGAATGCCAGCTTTAGACAAGACTAAAAACTGGAAAAGCCAAAATAAAAAATTTTTGGCCAGGCACTCCCCTAATTAACAAAGGCAGAAGTTCCCGGCAGTGCACTTGAATAGCCAGTCTGAACATGCTTCACTTTAGTAACCCGGCTGCAGTCATTCAGGATGGTTCTCGTACAGATGTTTGCACCATCCTTGACAGAAATTGAGCACTGAGTATTGAGTATATTAAATTGAGCAATTTAATATACCTACTTTAACACCAGTCACATAAATTTGATAAAAATCATACTTTTCCCTGAAATTGCATGGCATTATATCAACATATTCAGGAAAAATGTTAACATAGCATATTTAAGAAAACCAATCAACAAAACTCATTTCAACTATTTTTATTGTATTCATTCTTCCCTACTTTGATTGTTCTCAGGAAGATGACAACCATGTGTGATGCAAACAAAGGACAACAGCAGTCAGCTGGGGTTGCCAAGAAGGGACTGCCCGTCTTCAACTCGTACATGAGCTTGTTCCAGGTGCAGGAGAAGCTCAAGAAAGGAGAGGTCATAGAGGTGAGGGATTCCTTGCTTCACTCATGAGCCTGTTAATGTTGGCAGCTTACTATGTTTTTTTGATTCAATGTGCTATTGTTGACAGAAAAGATGGCTCAAAATATATCACAAAGTTAGTTCATTCAGAACATTAATTAATCCATAAGCCTTTTGCACATGATTCCCTTGGCTTAAGTGGAAGTGTGCTTTGTATTGGAAATATTGCTCTACTCAAGCATAATGCCCCTACCTGTGGTTATTTATAATGTGTTGTAAGAGAGTTCATTAATTGTATATGTGAAATTGTGCTTGGAGATAGCCTTCTTACTCAGTCCGTCTTTATCTATACCTGATATCAGTTCTGTCAATATTTAAAAAGTATTGTAATCATAACTTATGTATGTTATGTGACTGATGTTCTGTTGTGCTGTGCAGGGTGTGCTGCGCATCAACCCCAAGAACTATGAAGATGCTTATATCAGCGCACCGGTAATTCTCGGTACCCACCACGTCCTGAGTCTTTAGCTGGGGCCTTCAGGGGGCTCCTGCAGGCCTGGTCTTGCCTGCTGCCTAAATGCATGCCGCGCCTCTGTTCCTATCACAACTTCATCATGTTTAATGTCATGCTTAATGGCATTTGTAATATACCAATTAGCCCATTCCTACTTGTCTCCAAGTATTTCATTTCATTTTGTCTCCCATGTTCATTGGTTAATTTTGTTAACATGATCATGTTAGAAGGCCTATGCTAATAAGCCTTCATAGAGCTCAGTTATCCTTCTAAATGAAGCCATTGGGTCTTGTGAGGACAGCTCAGAATAATGAAGCATCGTGTTGTGTATTCGGGCCCCTAGTCTGGAACTGTGATTGCATGAGCATGACTATGAAGAATCCCATTCTATTCTTCATAGTCATGCTTTGTTTAATGCAAGCAATAAAGTGCTCATTCACTCATATGGTGTAAGTGTTTGACTTTTTTCCCTCTTTAACATTAAGTTCATTTTCTTTGCCCATTAATTATTCATTCGGTTCATTGAAGCTGCAAGTGTTTTCTTCAGGCATACTTTTTGCTTCTTGCTACATGCAAACTCTATATAATTTCTCGCCCTTCTAAAGTTATTTAAACTTGAATGAAAGTTCTAAAATTTCAGTGTATATATATTCATCTGTAATTAAACTGGAGTCGCACAATTAACTGTAATTGTTGTAATGTAAGTGGTATTGTTTTGTATTCTAGATGGTATCGGTTTTGTACTGTCTAGTGCCATTTGTAATGTTGAGTATTCTAAAAAATGTGCCATTAGTTTTGTTAGCAACTTAAATTCTGAATCCACGTCAGTAACAAAATGCACTATTGTGTCACTACCTGACATATATACGTAAACCAGGTGGAATCAAGCTATTCTCAGATAGATTTCAATCATATCCTTGTAAGCCGTTTGTTAATAAGTGAATATTAGATGGGGACTTTAATCCATTTCCAAAACCCTGGTCACTTATTGACATCTACTCCAAAAATATAGGAAGCTTTATTCAAGTTAAGTCGTGACAGAAGATGAAGGCATTACTATCTTTTTGTTGGTTGATGGCACGCTTGATTGCCGTGGTTGTGTTCTGAAGAGCTGTGCTGTCACAGGGCGGGGGGACGGACATCTATATTGGCGGGGTACGTGACCGTAACGCCGCCCTGCACGGGGATGTGGTGGCCGTCGAGCTCCTGCCCTCGGACCAGTGGAAGGTGAGAAGGCCACAGCTACTGCTATTACATCGTATCTCAACACAGCACCAGCAATAAAATAAAAATTAAATGTCCCGGTAGCAAGGACATTTTATTGTGAGTGCTATGACACGCGCAGCACCTGCAATAAAATGTCCTCGCTATCGGGACAATTTTTCTTTCTTGCTTTGTGCGATCTGAATATGAAAAACTTTTGTTGAGAAGTTCTGCATTTCTTACTTCATATCCTGGCTAGTTGTGTGTAATATTTTCTTTCTGTGCTCGTTGACTAGTACTACTCATTTTCTTGAAAAGTCAAATATTTTCTCTAGCAATTTATTTTACAAGGAATATTATTATCCATTGAAGTGCATTGAAAGTTATATTTTATTTGAACAAATGTTACTAGATTTTCGAAGTGGTATCAGCTATGTATATTTTGTGGACTTTCAGTTAACCACTTCAGTTTGGTGTCCAGCAACCCACTTGTTTAATAGTGTTGTAAATATTACTTGTTCCTTTAACTTGCTCTATAGTCATCCAGGGTATATCACAATAGTAAAAAAAACACAGGCTTCTCCTTTATACCAATGTTTGTGTCCTGTTTTTTGAGTAATTTTGTCCCTATTTTTTTGTCGTTTGTCCCGATCATTAATTTGTCAAGGGACGGTAGTCAAGGTTACATTGTATGCTAAATATTATTTACCTCTCTTGTGTTGACCTTATTTTATAGTAGTAGCTTGTTTAAAATCTATTATTTGTACGTTTTTTTCAGTCATGTGATTTTGCTTCCTTGTTAAAATCGACTAGCTATTAAACCGGCAAGTTTTTGGAGCATTCGCAGTATAGTAAAAGGCCCACATTTGGTTGAAAATTTTAAAAGCGTTCAGTTCAATTCTTCACAAGAAAGTGATTCTTTTTCGCAAGGTTTGCACTATATCTATATTTTTTATATAGATATAGTGCACAGCTATTAGCTCTTTAAATTCTACTTGGTACAAAATTACGAACTGCCCACTAGGCTTAGAGTTTATAGTTTATGGCATTTGTCGTCTTTATACAAAATTCTCTTCAGGAAGTTCATCTATAAACGCATTTTTTTGTGAATGGGGGCCAATTTCTGGGGCTTGTAAAAAGTAATATAATTTCGAGTGAATTTTGCTAAATTTTTGAAATCGGTACTATTTTACTATGTTAATGGATTGTCTGTAACTTATGGTTATTTTGTTTCAGGTGTTATATGATCAATTAGATTACTTCTTAGATACCGACGAGACACTCAAGAGCCTTGTATATGCTTCCCATGATCCCTTCGCTGTGATGGATCAGTTTGTTGCTCCTGGGTGCTCGGCTTCGCCGCCGGCTAAATCTACCCAGGACGAGACAAAGTCTGCTGACAATAATGAGACCAATGCTGCTGAAGAGACCGCCTCAGAATCTGCAGTTCAGAAGAAAAAGAAAAAACGGCGGGGCAAGAAAAAAATGAAACAGGAGAAACCAGGGGAGGATGATGACATGGCTGCAGCGGCTGCTGATGTTGTGGCCGCACTTCTTATTGACCCTCCACCTCAGAATGTTCAGGATGAGCTATACTTGCTTTCGGATGGCACCAATAAAGATGTCAATAATGCTGCTTCATCCGCTGTTGTAAAGTCAAAGTCAAACAAGAAGAAAAAAACGACAATTGTGGTTCCTCCTGACATGCTAAGTGAGTGTAGTGACGTAACAGATGATGAGAGTTGTTGTAGCGATAACCTTGACTTGGACACGGCCGTAGAAGATAGAAGTTTCTACAACGCCCAGCGCACGGCTATCAATAAAGCCATCAAAGTTGCCAACTGCGAGCTCGGAGTAGCTGACCGTGACATCTCTGGTCTAAAGCCTGCCAACATTGTGGAGGTGCAGGATGATGGAATAAAAGTGAAAACTGAACCAGAGATACCAGAATCAATCAAATTGGAAGAAGTGCCTGGTATGAAGGAGGATGCGTTTATAAAGTGTGTTCAAGACGAAGATGGAAGACTTGCTAACGATAATAAGAAGAGACAATCTACTGTCGAGAGACTTTTTGGAGACAAAGTTAAAAGTAAGACTGGGGTAAAAGAACGATCTCTGAAGGAAGATGTCCAGGAAGACAACGTGGGTAATGTAAAAGCACTCATTTCCGAAATGTCCATTTCTGAGATCGTTGATGCTGGAAAAACTGAAGAATCTGAAAGTGGAGCAAAGACTTCGGCATTAGACGGAACCGAGACCTCTGACATGGACTCCCGCGACAGCAATAAACCGTGCGGCTTTGCGGACTCCGGCCATGGCTTTGGTCTAGTCAGTGCGCCTCCTCGCTTCATGATCAGCCCATATAACCAGCAGATGAATTTCAACCATAACCTGTCGCGAGCAGAGAACAACTGGATGCATCATCCCATGCTGAATAACTTCTCCAATTCACCTGCTTCGAGCCAGGTGATTATGGGATCTCAGCCCCGTCATCGTGGTCAGATTCGGCCACAAAATCAACAGTTCAAGCCCAGGCAGCCAATTCATGAGCAGCAGCAGCCGCTGCCTCAACCTATTGAGAAGCGAACTGTTCCCTCGGTAGCGCAAGTTATGAGGCTTGCCAACTGGAGTCGTTTCGTCCAGAAGATTGGTTACGTGGTACACATTTTAGAGCAGCGCAACACGCGTCTTGGTGCTGGGACGCTCAAACCTTTCCAGGACCTCAACCCAAACTTTGCCCTCTTCTCTCCCAATGACAGCAGGATCCCTCGCATGAAGATCCCCATGTCACAGTGCCCTCAAGATCTCATCGCCAGAAGAAATGATTATGCCAAGCGCATCCATCTGGCCAAAATAACGTTATGGACCGATCCTAAGTTTGCTATGGGGTAAGTGAGCATATTCATTCATTTCTCAGAGGCTCTTTTCACAGACTAAAGTTTATTTTTTATGTCTTTAAGTCATTTGTATGTCTAGGTCATTTTTGTCTGCGTCATTTTCGAAAGTAAGTAGATTTTTTATCGTGGTATTTACTCCTCTATAGTTTGCATAGTAGATCCTGGAGCAAACTATTACTGAATACTGATTAGGAAAATGTAATTATTATTAAAAAAATTGTAACAATTTTTTATAAAAAGCCTCAATGCTCCTAATGTTTCTGCTTTCCGTTACATAAAATTTATCCTCCATTGAGCTGTTTTTTCCTTTTCTCTTGAATTTATTGATTGTTCAACTTTGATTTTCTCTTGCGAGTAAGTTGTAGTGGTGCCTTATTCTTAATATTTATGCAATGACAGGGAGCTCATCAGCGACATTGGGAGGCAAGGGGACATCTCCGCTGAGTCGGACGCTTTCCTTCTGCAAATCGGAATTGACACGAGCGACTTTCCCGCGGAGGTGGTGGCTCAACTGCCTGGCAAAGAATGGACCATTCCTCCTGAGGTGAGAGACTCTTGTTATTATCTGAAGTAATAAATGCCCATATTTTGCCTGAAGCGAGAGATGCTCAATGTTTAATTGAAGCGATAGACATTCTATGATTACCTGATGTGAGATATGCTCTTTGTTTGCCTCAAGTGTGAAATGCTCGTTGTTTACCTGAAGCGAGAGACTCTCTCTCTTTACCTGATGCAAGGGACGCTCTTTTTTTTACCTGATGCAAGGGACGCTCTTTTTTTACCGGAGGCAAGGGACGTTCAATTTGCTTAGCTTAAGCTTGTTCTAAATGTGGATTTCTGGCTGCTAGGAAACAAGGTTGATAAAAGAATGGGCTCCAGTATTGAAAATTATTTTTGAGATCAATTTCAATGAGTGATTTCGTGTGCAGTTTTGAATTTTGTCTTGTTTATTTGTGAAATTTCAGTGGTGGTATGCCCATGCTTAGTTATCAACGGAAAAATTTCTTTCAAATACTTGTTACTTGAATGTGTTACTGTTGTACGCTGCACTCGCTCATCCCAAATGTGACATTTCCGGTTATAAGGCGTTTGATTGTCAGCAGTGGTAGTTCTATTTCTTTGATGTGATTCAGTTGACATATTCTTACGCGGAACACTTAGAAGCCACAGATGTTAGCTAAAACTTACCGTAGCTGACGCTCTGGGATAAATCATGACCATGATGAATCCAGGCGCTGCAAGGACGAAGGGATCTGCGTGACGAGTGCATCTTGACGATTGACCCGCCCACTGCACGGGATCTGGACGACGCGCTGTCGTGCGAGCCGCTGCCTAACGGCCACTTCAGGGTGGGCGTGCACATCGCCGACGTGTCCTACTTCGTGCCGCTTGACTCGGAGCTTGACAAGATAGCCGCGTCTCGCGCTACCAGCGTCTACCTCATTGATAAGGTGAGTTATTGTCGCTACGCAGTTACTTGGAGCTCGACAAGATAGCGGCGTCTCGCTCTACCAGCGTCTACCTCATTGATAAGGTGAGTTATTGTCGCTAAGCAATTGCTCGTTCAGCCTCGTGAATCGTAATGAAAACTGTACTGCGTTTTCATAAGAAATCACTGCTAAAGATGCAATGCTTCTCCGTGAGCCTTCATTATTCCAAATTATATCATGTATATGCGAAGATTTTTTATTCCCAATTTGCCCGTCTTAACTGAGTGAACCTTATTAATATTTTCTTTCCAGGTCATCTCAATGTTACCCAGAAAGTTATGTGAGGACCTTTGCTCTCTGAATCCTGACGAGGACCGCCTCACGTTCTCCGTTGTGTGGGAAATGGATCCACAAGGTCAAATAGTGTCTTGTTGGTTTGGCCGCAGCATCATCCGCTCGTGCGCCAAGCTGTCCTACGAACACGCGCAGAAAGTCATAGACTATCCTGAGAAGACGACCTGGAGCCACGATGAGCTCCCCGTCAATGCTCGTTTCTCGTCTGCCAAAGTGAGCGCCATCATCAACACCCTGTACAAACTGTCTGTGGAGATGCGAGCTCGTCGTCATCATCACGGCGCGCTCCGACTTGACCAAAGAAAGCTCGGCTTCAGTCTCGACCCTATAACAAAGAAGCCTAACGCAGTCCACAACGTTGAGCACTTGGCGAGTAACGCTATGATTGAGGAATTCATGCTGCTAGCCAACATCAGCGTTGCTCACAAAATATACGAGTCGTTCCCAAAACATGCTGTTCTTCGCTGTCACCCGGCGCCGCAACAGGGTCAGCTGGACGACATAGTCAACATGCTCAGAACCCTGAACATCGAAATCGACTCGTCTTCAGCTGGCGCCATTTATGCTAGCGTTCTGGAGCTCTCCGGCGAGGATAGCTACAGTTTAGCGCGACTTGAGGTCATCGTAAATTTGCTGAGTAAGCCAATGCAGAACGCTCTTTATTTCTGTTCCGGAACTTACGAAGAAGATTTTTGCCACTACGCGCTCAACGTTCCGTTTTACACTCACTTCACGTCACCTATCCGACGCTACCCTGACATCATGGTTCATAGGCTGCTGGCAGCCGCGGTGGACCTGGAACGTTACCCATTCCCCAACTTGGAACTGAAAGAAATAGACCGTCGATTGGCTACAGCCAACGAGAAGAAGATATCAGCCAAACGTGCGTCTGATTACAGCGCCGAGCTCTTCTTAGCAGAGTTTGTGCGCCAAGTCAAGGAGATCACAACCAATGGGATGGTTATTGGTGTGCTTGATCGCTCCCTCGACATCCTCTTGCTCGATTACTGTACTATAAAGCGTGCATATCTTGAACGCCTACCTCTGGATGAGCTCAATTACGACAACAAGAACAAGCTAGAGCCTCCCACCGTGCACATCATATGGAGCGCCGATCACGCCAATCAAGTGCCCGCACAAGCTCAGTCACTCACGTACTTTTCGTGCGTCAAGGTGCTGCTCACGCCATTCACCAACGATCAGCTCAAGTTTAACGTCACTTTAATCAGACCAGATTCTTAACCTTTGTCCTAATTCTTTCTCTCAAAATTTTGAATTATCGGCCGAGATGTGAATCCCTGAGCTTTGTGATAGTTGCAGCTTAAATTTAAATGTAGGGTTTCTCATCGTAACAGCGATATTCCTCAACGAAAATTTCTATTTGCGTGTGGTTCTTGCTGTTCTCCTTGTTCTTGTTTGCGCCGTTGGGCTCCTCGAGGGATGAGGTTCATCAGTAATAACTCTGTCATCGTCAGCAGGCTTTGATCTCGTGTTACCTTAAGATTATATACCTGGATTTCATTGCGTTATAATTTAATTTTTTGGTGATTGTCACCTCAGATACGTTACGCAAGCAGCGCTGCACGTTGTATTTTATGATAATATACTTGTGAATATTAAATGCATTTTACCGTGACTTTGTGCAGTCTGTTGTTAATGACAAATGCAGTTGTATTTGTTAATTATGCTATTTCTTATCATTCTGACGCGTTTCTTACATATATAGCCATGCTTCTGTGGTTTTAAGCTTTAAAATATAATGACCACATTTTATTCATGTATTGTGATCAATTTTTAAGTAAAAACGGATGCGTTTCCTTGTTTAAAATCCCGATCTCTGCTGCACTGACGGCGATATGAAACCCATCTTTCGGTATTCGACTGCAGGGCTTCAGGTTGCGGTTTAGTGGATTGAGTTGGCCTGCATTGCATGCGTCGTAGCTCTTCATGGACCTGTGAACATTCATTGACGCGTCTTCGTTTCTGTCAAGTCTGTTCTCCCATCTTCCTTACGCTGCTTTCAAGTCCGCTGCGCTCATTCTCCCCGCCGAAATATTTGGTTTCGGCCGTACACACGCATGCTAAAAGCATTCACGTGCGTAAACAGAGGATTGTAGGAGAGCCCAATTCTCCATTTCTGTTCGAACCAGACCTGAATCCTGCCTATCATTCCTGCCCACTGGACATGTTCTCTTAAGAGATAGTAAACAAAGACAGAACTTATTACACGTTGCGACGCGGCCAGGGAAACGTTGCCCGCGTTTTATACTTCCTAGTGTCAAACGCCGCATTGCGAGAGTGCTTATGCCCGACGTAAAATTATTTACTTGCTAATCTTATTTCACTCACCTTCCAAAAGTAATGTGCGGTGAAGAGAAGAGTTTCAACGTAGTTGTGGTTCCCCGGTCTCACTTTTACAAGAGGAACGCGCAAGTACGACACCACCAACAGGGAGTCGCTCCAGAGCTGTAGGGCCGAGGTTATGTGGTGGTGTTGTCTGAGATCCTGCCAGAGTGGACATTACTGGGAGTATGTGCGTAATTGTGTGGGGAGCTTCCTGGCAAGATGGACAGGTGTCCGAGTCTGCTTGACCAATTCTGTATGCGTATGTTTGTAGTGAAGGGTGGTGGCCGCAGCGCAGTCTGGCTAGGTGTACTCTCTCCAGTCTAGAGAGCTGGGTTTCTGCACTGCTTATGTCAAGTAGTGGGTGTGCAAGGACTTTGTTTTTGCCAGCCAGCTCCAGCGTTCTCTGTGTCATAATTGTGTGTGTGATTTTTGTGCTGGTGTTGCCTTGGGGTGGGGGTACTATGTTTTGTATGCTGGTGTAGTATATATGTGGGGTTTACGTAATTTCAACGTATTTACTGTCGCTGCGAACCACCGTATATCAAGGATTCATTTCATGCGTAATGTTCGTAGACCAATAATATGAGCTACACACAGATAAGTTTTGCATGAACACGTGTGAGAGCAACTACTTCATGATTGCTTCATGAGAGTAACTACTTCATCCCAGCTTAACCTAACTTGACATTTTTCTAATATTCCTTTCCGCTAAAGGGCATAGCAGCCTATGAAGTCAACTGCGGAACGGGTCCAAAACAGTGTTGGTGATCAGCCAGGGGCAGATGTTGCGTGATAACGAGTTTCGGGCACCGTTCAAGAACTTTGATGGCGGGCACAGCCGCACAGCAGTGAGAAGGTGGAACAAGTAGGGAATTCCAAGTGGTCCAAGATATTTGACGTGAAATATGGTGAGCTTAGCTGATCCGGTGTTTTTTTTAGGGACTGTATTGTTTGAGTGCATTGGTTTCTTGCGTCATTGTGAGGGAGAATCAGTCCGAAAGGCTGAGGTTCTTTGATTTCCGGGTTGTGATTCCGTTGAGTTTGTTGAACATGTGGTGAGTGAAGGCAGACGAGAATGATGTCCACAGCCATCGTTTTAGCATGCTCAAGTTAAGCATGATCATCCTGCATCTGGCCTAACTTTCACCGTGCAACATTTCAACGCCAAAAACAAACCTAAGCGAACCTAACCTCATTGGATGCAAGGAGTTAGTGAGGCGGTTCAAGAGAGCAGGTAGAGCCGTTCCTTGGCTGCAGGAGAGATGCGAGCCGGAGCAGCGTGAAATGGTTTGGCTAGAAGAGGTTAGGCCGTAGTAGGTGAGGCCTGGTGCAAAACGGCCTGCTTATGGGCGAGCATGCTAAAGTAGTGGCTGACGCCTTATGACCTATGTCACTAGTATCTTAACGTACTGCGTTACTAGTCTAAAACCAGGAGTTCCAGCGTTCTGAGGCTTCTAGCTCTGTGGCTGAGTAAAGTTATTGTATGCTCAGTCTAGGCTCCAGGGCTTATTTTAGAGATAAATTTGTGGCTTATGGCTACTCCCATTTCAAGATTAAAGTAAAGGATGGACGATATATGGTCGTCGCGGTATCAATGTTCAAGTTCAGCTGGGTCCATCTGACTATGGCGGAGAATGTCCCAGAGTCGTAATGATTTAAACTCATTTGACTTTACAAACTTTATTGCATACTTGCAATTACATTAACTTCGAAATGCTTGAGCGTTACGTTAATAATTGGTTATATCGAAGCGAATACCTAACTTGATCGAACATTCGTTCATTTTCATACCAGATGTTCTGCTAAATCCTGACACCGTCGTTAATTAATTTCACACCTCACACCGTCAACCATTTCAACAAGTAATCTTCCTTTTCGCCGACGTCTTCAATCTTCACGATTCAACGTCAGGGATTAGTTTATGAACTCAGACTTAGGCAAGATAACTTTTTTATTTGAGCGTTGACACTTACTGTCAGAGTTTGTACTATCCGTTACGGAACACTTCGAGCACGTGGCCACCTATTTACAAGTTTTGTAACCCCAATAACACTGTTACATATAATTACTGCATGGTATGGCCGAATACATATTGTAAATCCTGAGGCATGTCAAGACGGAAAAGCTTAATTGAAGATGGATGCATTCATAACGGACTACATTGGCGGTAAAATTATGATCGTGGCAACACCTATAGTTTGTACTTGCTTATTATTTAAGGGGAGTGTCTCGGTCAAAAATAGAAAATTTTGGCTTTTCCGTTTTATTAGCTTATTTTGTAGCGGCTGAAAAGGCGCGTCTACTCAGCAAACCGCATGTATATGCGTGCTCTAGTTTTTGCGTAAAGCAATTTCAAAAATATATAAAATGAACATTTTTTCGCCATATAATAATAATATAACAATAATAATACCGGTTTCAACGTTTATTAGGCCGTAGGCCTGTCACCGATTCCTAACATCGCACCAGAATTACTTTAAATGAAATCTGTATTTATATATCATTATTATCGTTCATTGCAAATTTTTTGCACTCGTTTGAAAGCTTCAAACGATGCGCGTTCAAGAAAGCAAATACCACGGATGTTCATGTAATGTTTTTTGCGTAAGGCCGTTTCGAACTGGTATGAAATGAACTTCCTGGGCAAAAATAAGTCTAAAGACGCGTGCTGGTACCTTAAGTGCAACTAATTGGCAATGGAAAAGCTTGGGCTAAAATATCAAGCAATTTTTTGGCACATTATCTTTTTTTCAATAAATTTGACCTATTTGGCTCACCTGAACAATTGAATTTTCCTAATGCGCCATCTTAGAAATCTATCTCCTCCTATGATTTTCAAGCTACAGCATTGAGAGATATGCCATTAGATTTTTAAACAGTTGAGGCGTCAATCGATAAATCTGTCTTACACAGCCTAAATTATTAATGCAAACGCGAGTCTCTTCACGGATTGATAAATCACTTCTCATGGTTGATGAATCGTTGTTAAAATAATAAATCACATCTGATGGTTGACAAATCACAGATTATTTGATAAATCACAGTTGATGGAATGGATCGCTCCTGAATTGATAAATACCCGTTGATGGCTGATAAATCGCAGTTGAATTAATGAATAATTCTGTATGCTAAAAATAATTAGTAAGTTTTTAGTAAGTTCAGTATGAATCGTTCTGCAGTGCAATAAGAACCTACTGCGGTAGTTTCAAGTGCCATGAATCCGTTTTGTTAAAAAATGTTGAGCCGCGCGTTTTGAGTAATGCCGAAATGATTATTATGAAATATTGGCATAATGGCTTTTATAATCTGTTTTTCATTGAGACGCTTCTTAGTTATTGCCGCACTATAAGCAATCCATGGAATTTTATGGTCGACGGTTTATCCTATTAACAATTGTGCCACACAAGAAAGCTGGCATACAAGATTATACAGCGTGACGAGGATGAGAGCGTGCTTATAATACAATATAACTTGAACTCATACTGGAAAAAATGATTGAATAACTTCAAAGCTTCGTTAATCAATGTGACACATTATGATATCTATCATTTTCTGTAATTCTGTAACACGCCAAATTAATGTCACTTATTGGGGCAGCTACTCGTTGATTCTCGCGTAGGATCACGGGGATAGAAGAGGTCGTACTCTCTAAGTCACGAGATAGAGCAATGCAAACTCAAAAATTGTGATGGAATTTACCGTCAGAAACGTTTGAAAGAAATGGCAGTCTTTAATTATTATCTATCCATTTTACGAAGGGTTAGCCTATGAGTGCATGTTGGCTCAACGTTCCGAAACGGTATCAAAATATTACATCGAAATTTGGTATACCTTACTCGGAATGCTTTAAATTTGCAAGAATTATGCTTAAATCTAATGAAATTAAAGGCCAAAGTGCAAAAAAAGTATAAGAAAAATCTTGAAGGTTATCGTCCTGCGGTTTCTGAGACAATATTCATAGACATAATCATGCTTAAATCGCACCTTTCACAAAAATGTCTGTCGGTCTCTTTGGCACACTATGAAAAAATAACTTTTTTTTAATTGAGCTATTTTTTTAGTTATTTCAAAACATTAAAATTTAAATAGAAGCATTTTACCTTACGATATTCCATTTTGTACTCGTACTTCGCTACTGTGTACTGGAACTTTTCGTGCCGATGGATGAAAGATCTTAGCATGATTGCTAAACAAAGTCTGATAAAAACTGATTCACTAAACTGAAAATTTACAAATATCCTCAATATCATGGTTGTCGAAATTAATTCAAAATTAATGCCGAGGACTGTTTTATGGCCAATTGACCGGACAAGGAGCTTGGAACCCGACGATCGAGACAAATGAACCTTGTGTACAGTTGTAAAATGTATATTGTAGGTCCTACTTCTTGAAAGCACAACACAGCGGCCATTGAACGTCTCAACCAATTTGGTATCATACTTAAAGTACTGAATGCAATATGCTTTATATGACAGCACATATTATCTCGTTACGATGATGACTAAAGAAAGATTTATTCTAATATATAAATATTTCGGACATGCGACAAATTCTAGCATGCGGCAAATTTTCTGCACTTTTTCAAATTTGCCAACACCAGGCTACCCATATAAAGTTTATTACAAAGTTTAGATTTGATGTTCCATCATAATTCTCTTTGGTGACTTAAGTGCTTAAGTTTGAACAAAACCAACACAAAATTAATTGACGATGTGAAATCTGCTTTTGATCCGATCAATTGCAAATGCAGCGTCCCGGAAAGAACCCGCGGGCCGAAAACACTTGTATGCGAGAAGAATTTAATGTAAAAAAATACGTGTAGTGGTTTTTGGCAGAAGTTTTACTCAAAGCTTCATTAATTGGCTGCAGTTTTTCGGACTTGCCGTAGTTGTAGCGAAGCTGGCTTTTTTTCTACAGAGAAAAAAATCGGGATGAACTAATATATTGTATGGGGGATGACGATCAGGATGTTTAAAGTCGTTTGGATTCTTTTTTTTTACATCAGTTCTCACATTGTTAAATAACTCATCACGGCAAACTTACCGCTAAACTTATACAAAGTCGTACGTTGAGGTTAAATTACAATTATACAGAGCGCATAGCGTAATACGGAATGAATCCTAAGCCTTATCACCGACCCTTAATTCTGGGCAGCTGTTACTTGAGTAGCAAGATAATCTACATGGCGTCTTCTCCCTTGTAAGGCTTGCCGGTGATGTTCGGTGTTGATCCTGTAACGGCGTCATCGGGTGCGTCCCTGCGGGAAGTACAAAAATCTCATAGAGAACCCTTGAAAACTACTATATTTTTTACATTAGTCTTCAAGTTAAGAACTTTCGTTCCAGTTTCCGTAAAATCATTCTTGCACCAGGCTTTATTTAATTGTCTACCGAAAGAATTAATGTAGTTCAGATTTTGGATAAATTTAGAAGCCCGAAAATTTCGACTTACTTGTAAAGCCAGTAATGTTGAATAAAGAAGAAAATGTTGAAGAATATTGAGAGCAGTCCCAGCCCGAGCTTTGTGGGGTCTGACAGCACCGAGTTTATGTCATCTGTGGATCAAGAAGTGAATAGATGACGAATTAACGACTCGGTATTTTCTTGCAAACTGTCGGATGCAAAGTTCGGCCCAATCTCTTCAAATTCATAACCAAATCGTTGAGGAGTTAGGGCATACTTCGTAATACGACTGGTGTGCACTCTATTATTTCTAGCCTGCGTGAATTTGAAAAGAATAAGAATTTACCAATCATCGAACGATTTTAGCGCGTGCCGAGCAAATAAATATTTGCGCTCTCATGAATTTTGCATTTGAAGAAAAACTAGGAATTGCATGTACAGGTGGAAGAGTGAAATTTCCGGGCATTTTATGCACTCATATTATGAATAAGTATATTTGTTGTCGTTGATCAATAATATATGTGTCAATCTTGAAAATAATGTTTCGTGTATCCTAGTACTAAGTCTTAACTTAAGTTCAACTAGTCAAAGGCAATATCTTCCAGCGCTTCCCACCGTAGTTGTCAGCCAGCATGAACATCTGAATGAGGGAGCAGACGCCACCGCTGAAGTCCAATATCACCTGGAAGATGCTCCAGCCTGCCGTGCTCTTGTGTTTGTAGTTCGTGTAAAGCTGAAAGAATACATTCCTATTAGTTTTACACCAGTGAACAATATTTATATTGAATGGGGCTTCCGGTTATCTCCTCATAGTTATTGTTTCTATGTTCTAGTTAAATGGTATGTCTAAATATTGTGCCGACGATATCCTGACTTTTTTCCTCCCAGTGAGACGCCGAGAGGAATCTATATTTTCTCTACCTGAATAGTGTGTTCTATGTTCGCATTCGAGTGCAGATGACGTGTGGCTGATTTTTAGAACCATGAATGTGGTCTAATTGTGGATGGCGGAAACAAAGCCTGAACGTTACCTGCGGTGTATATTTGATCATGCAGTTGAAGAGCTTGACGTAAGACATGAGAAATTATCATAAGCGCCTGAACGTTACCTGTGGTGTATATTTGATCATGGAGATGAAGAGCTTGACGTAAGACATGAGGTAGAGGACGTCGATCCACAAAACCTTCTCCACAGTCGGCACCAAAATGCAAGCGATGAGGACGAGCAAAATGAGCAGTGCGCTGATGATCCGGCATGGCCACGATACTTTTTGTCCTTCCAATTTCTGATCGACACAACAGCAAAAAAGGTGAGGTTTCGCAGGAATTAACGCTGTATAATGTGTATGAATTGCTAGTATTATATATTTGAATGATGATATTGGCATAAGTAAACATATAATGGGATAGATAAAATAAGGGAAACAGTTGAGAAATCCGCCATATATATTTTAGTATGGTATAGGTCCATCTTTCGCGGCAATTCAGGCCTCAATTCTCCAAGGTATTATTGATTCATACAAATTTTGAATTGTTTCTATTGGAATTTTAGCCCATTGTTCAGGTAAAACTCCCTTCAGCTCTTTCAAAGACGATGGGGCGGCGGGAATCAACTTCTGACTTGCATCTCTAAAATTGTCTAGAAATGCTCGACAATATTCAGGTCTGGTGATTGTGGTGGCCAATGAGAAGATGATCGAATTCATTAGAATGTTCCTTGTGCCATTTTTTTAACAATTTTGCCTGTGAGAATTGGGCTATTATCGTGTTCCTCTTCGGAATCGGTGCTTGAACCATTGGATGAACTTGGTCCTCCAATTATAACATGCTCAAAAATTACGATATCAAAATGTCAGGCGTTTCCCTTATTTTGTCCGAACTCTGTATATTTGTTAAGACCTGCGAGTAACATTACATTCTGCTAGTCAAAGAGGTTTAGACTTACAGCGGAAAGGTTCAATGAAGACTGATCCCGAATCAGATAGTTGGATGATGCTTTTCTCTGCTGCCTGCATAAATATCTAACTCGACCATACAAGGGCATAATCTTTTTCAGAAGCGCAGATTTATTGAAAGCTACTTATGAATAGACGTGGATACTTACGGGCTAATTGATCCATTGCACTATCGTCACCATACTCACGGGATAGTAGATGCACTGCACTGCACTATAGTCACCATACTCACGGGGTAGAAGATGCACTGCACAATCGTCACTAGTGTACAAATGACGGCATAGAGCGGGAAGATGACATCATTGAGACGCACGTGGTTGATCTCGTTGGGATGGCGCAGTTTGAACTCAGCCTGCAACATTATGTTATCTCACAGTACTGAATTGCTATTGCCATCCTGGCTATCCTAACTTGGCAGCGCATACAGTAACTGTTAAACAATCAAACATACAAGATTCAAGCCCAACTTCGAGTTTGTTGACATTGAATAATTCCAACAAAATTATACAATTTAGTATATTCTTTCAATAACTGAAAATGTTGACACTCTTCAATTCGTTGACGTGGATGGTTTCCTAGGGTTGATATAACTTGAACCCTTTTTTCAGCACTATTAATTTCCAAAGTATAATTTCACACTAATATCCTTCTCACATGAAAAAATTTGAATGATGGTAAGCAAACTACTTATTCTAAACATTTATTAGTCATGAAACATTTTCACGTAATAAAATTAGAGTCACTATAGTGTAGTTTTGCTGTAAAATGAGCGACATCAAGTATTGTTAGGCCACGCGATGTCAACGCGAGCCTCACGTAATATCGTGTGCTCGTTTCAGACGCTACGCAGCGTGTACCTTAATGCCAGGGATCCAGTACATCCCAATGTTGAACATCAGGTAGAAGGAGAAGCCAATCAAATTGAACGTCAGGAAGTCAAAACTCAGGCCAGCGACACTGTAGGCGATAAAAGTAAACTCAGTTACGTATACATAGAGCAGGAAGGTCTATTATTGAAATTAAAATAAGACATTTTTATTGTGAAATATTTAGGAGATGAGCATTTATACTGACCTGTTCCTGCGGAAGTTGTGCCAAATCTGCGGCAAGAAGCTGACGTCCCAGGCGATGGTAGAGATCCAGCCCAGCACCATGGCGGCGGTCTCGATTGCTGGGTCCTTCATCACTGACAGCACCACGAACGCCTCACTCACACTGTGCGTGGTCACAAGATCTATTTTATTAATTAAAGTTTTCTCTCCGCTCAAATTATCGCCCTGAATTTTTATCTCAAAGTAAATTTCGATAATCATCGATTACCAAACACAGTATTATGCTTAAACAACAAATTTTTGCACTGCAAATCATTCCGTGACTTTACCGTCGTATACAGCCTGATATCTGTGTTTGCCTGCAGTTAACTCACTCGAGTTCTGCTGATTCAGTGTCGACGTATAACGTTAATTTTCCCTCTTTGATTGTCTCGAGCGTGACGTTGTGCGACAGTTCGCCCTGAAACGGCTCGACGGTGTAGTTCGTTTGGGCGAAAGGCTCTAAGACTGCAGTGTCGCCCGTCATCCTCAACTGCAGCAGCGCGCTGGTCGTCAGATTCCCGCTGAAAAAATTATATATTGTCATTACTGGCCCTTCAAGGAAAAAGCTTCAATCGGAAGATATCTTCTGATGATTATCCAATAGGATGCGCTGACGCTACATTATACGCGGTTCACCAACTGTGTGCAGCCGAGCGGCATCAGGATGCTAAGAAAACATTTATGCCCGAAATCACATCAGAAATTGACCGTAATCCTCATGAAGAAACTAATCAATTAAATTTTTAATTTATGGCCGTAACTTAGATTGGTAGATATTTTTCGTATCTCATGCGCTGATTAAATTAGAGGAGAAGGCTTTGAATGACAGCAAAGTTGCTCATTCATCATTCGAAGTTTATTAGTAATATTTTATCAGGAGGATCAGATAAAATTATTTAATTATTTTTTATTTTTAGGCGGAGCTAATTAATTTCCGTCGATTTATGCTAATCTCCAAGAAATTAGTTTAAGCATATGGTATTTTAGAGCACAAAACTTAACTTTATCATATCAGCTTTTGCTCGAAAATTTAAAAGTGTGTTTAGTGCGACTGGCTTATGAGAGCAGTGTAATGATTAGTAAGAGAAAAATATGTGATGCGTCATCCTGCTCTCATCAGCAAAGATAAAGATTATCAGCAGATTAAGATAATAAAGTTGTCTCTCATCATTGTTCATTAGATTACGATGGAATAGTTGATATTCGTTATCAACAAATCCGTCCAGCGATATAGAGAGCAGAGGCAAAAATATTCGATATATTATAGTGTGAAACGCGCGACTAAAGCTGCAGTTGTGCGGTATTTAATTTGAATGTCACGTGTTCATTTGATGAATACGTATACGTGGGACCTCGACTTACGCCATTTATTTTGGAACCTCAGCTTACGCCATTTATTTTTCTCACATTCTCCCTAACTTAATTGATTCTTAAAATGTTGTTACAGTTTCGTAGTATTTGCCAAATCTAATAAAGGCTGATAGATCACATTATTTTTTTTCAATTTCCTGGCATTATTACTTTGTAGTATTTTATTACGGTAGTGTAAATGTTATTTTTAAATGAAAATGTCAATATTATTTTCTCCCGATGAAGCTAGAATCCTGAAAGTTAGAGGTTCAATTTCGTCACCTGATGGTGAAGAGAATGACTGTGCTCTCCCCCTTGACCAGGTCTACTTCGTTCTCCTCAACTTTCAGGATGGCGCTGTAGCCTTCGCCCGCTGCGCCTGCAAGTAAAATGTTTGATTGCGAAAAAACATTCATGGTAATTGATCAAATATTTTGAACATCAATCAAATATATTTAAGTAATTATAAGACAAACAACAGGAGTCTGTCTTCAGACTAAATTTTGCAACATTACATAACATTTCGGCTGTAGCCCGTCGTTAAGATATGTAGAAGCAATTCATTATGAAAAGTTTTCTTGACGTACGAATATAAGATTATATTGGCCTTATCTCAAGGCTGTGGAAATCATTCTTAGAAAGCGATACATTGCTCTCAATGAGTGTCGTGAATTGATACAATTTACTTTACTGCGTTTTTCGTAATTAAATCCCTATTGGTGCCCGTCAATATTTGGTCATGATTGTACAAGGCTGATAAGAACACAAGGTCAACCAGAGACGAGATGAAGACTACATTGGTCATTGATTTAACTATAATCAATTCTCTCGCATCTTGATTAGCCTCGCACAGGAGAACTTATCGATCTCACCTGCTCCTGGCAAGATACCGGCACACTGAAAATTTCCTTGGGAAACACATATTGCACTAACTTTTAGTAAAGGTTCATAAAATCTTATTCTGATTTTTTTTTCAATTGTGCAGAAAAAGCAAGTGAGTTTCCCTGTGCAGCGAGTGCGTCAAAAATTTTTTGGCCAAAAGTTCGATTGCGGGATCCGTGCAAACTTTGTATTGCTAGAAGTCAAGGACAAGAAAGTGATCCGTCGCCTAATGTACCTACCGTTATCGAAGAAAATTCGGACGCTAAACCAATAATGTGGCCAATATTTCATTTGATAAAAGGTAGAGAGTTCAAATATATTTTGAATCGAAATACTGACAAAGGAGACAACAAGTGAGGTACATCCAGAAAACGATCAAGACAATAAAATCCTATATGGTGACGTTGGCCGATTAAAGTATAATGAAAGATGTTTTTGACGTTCGAGTATAGCACAGGACAATGCATGTATGTGTCGAACATAATTTACTTCAAAGTAAACTGGTCAACTGATCAAACAATGGCTGGTCGAACAATGGCTAGCCCCGAAAATGCTATAAATATAATGATTAAATTAGGAACAAGAGAAGTTATTCATTTCATTTAGACAGGCCGAAGAATTTTGATTTTTTTTCTGTAAAGTATGCATCTCGCCCCCCAGCTAGGCCTTCGTTGGGGAGGATTTAAACAAAATTTTTTGATCACTGGCTTTAAACTGCCAGCCGTTTGCATAAAATTGAGACCGACACCTGCATTTAATCTAGACTATATAAATTCAAGTATAATGCAATATTCTGTCGTTGGCATGTCAATATGGTAAACATTTGGTGAACAATACTGGCCTGAATCTAATTCCAAAGGCAACCTCAGCAACCAGGCAGGGACAATAGAAGAAAAATAGCGTTCAGTTTTCTTTTATTTCTTCAATCTTCTTGAAAAACTTCTGGACAAAATTTCACACTTCATAATACGTGAAAATACAAATTTAAGGATTTAACTAACAATAAATCAACACGGTAAGCAACAAACAAATTTCAAAGTATCACATGCTTTTCGGCTAAAATAAATGTGATAGTGACAACACAATGCACGAAAAATACGAAAGTTAAGAGGCGTAAAATTTAAACCTACTCTACTTTGTCAAAAGAAAATAATGAATTAACTTTACATTCCACTGTTAAATGACTACGACAATATATGAGCAAGAAATATACGAGACAATTCCAACAAATAGGCCTGTGTAGTAGTGCAGCAAAGCACTACTCGTAGCAACAGCAATTAAATAGTTATGAGCGACATACAGTATATGGCCGCGATACCGAATATTTACAGACAGCTACGTGCCGCAAGGGTACAAACGGAAATTACACATCGCAGGCGTACTGGACGCGACAAATACGTATTAATACGTAATCCCTTTTGATTAATTCACTCGCAAACCATTTGATAAATGTCTCTTTTCCAGATGCTGCTTACTTCCGTAACTTCCAAAAGTTGTTGATTTCCATAAATATGTTTCGTTGCACTTGCTTTAAGGCAGTGGTTGCCAAACTATGAAGCTCTCATCGCTTTTGGGCCGCAGAAACATGACAAGGAATGCGCGATGAAGGGAATAGCAGTCAGATGCACAGAGGTCCACAGCTGCGTGGTAAGATCATAGCATATAGTATTTAATAACATACTTGTACTACTGCATCATGGAATGAAAGCAACGCCAAAACTGTGGTACTTGTGGACCGAAATGGGCTAAAAGATGAGAGAATTTTGGGCAACATTTCAGGTCTTACCAGATCTCCAAAGGGCGAAGACAAGTGGCCAGCCCAAGAATTTGAGCTTCCTTCGCCTCGATTTCAAACTGTGCACGCATTGCTATAGTCACTATAGCAATGCGGTCCCACTATACTGAGTATAGTGGGACCTTTACCACCAGTCAGAAATGTTTTCGAAACGTGCGTTAGTCAAACATAAATTAAAATAACAATATATATTACCATACATTGACAGAGCGATGCTGTGGATTGAAGCGCATCCAGTTGTTAATTAAGGTCCCAATTAATACGTACGTATATAAAGAATAGCATAGCCTTTTCTTGACGCATGGGTATTCTGTTTTGTCGTTGCATCATGACTCGGCAAGATGGTGTGGTGTTACGGTAGGATGGGTCTAGATTGTGTTTATATAAACATTATTAAAATGTTTGATCAGTGAAATTATATTTAATTTTTAAATAAGATACTAAGCGGGTGTACAAGATACTTTTTATGCATTGGCATTCACTCGAAGAGACATCTTAATTTCAAAACCACTTTAAGACAAAATAATACATTTTTAAGTGCAGTACCGCGACTAAGCTGATAAATCTTCAAATTCTGAGGTCAACCGTGTTTAAAAATGTTTAAATTATTTAAATTGTGAACTTGCTTGAGAGGTTATATTGTGGGAATTTTTTTTCTCATTTAAACCACGAATTTGTAATCGGAGCAAATTATTTTTGTGCCACATCTAAAGTAGTTAGTTTATTACGTAAAAATTTATTTCAATGAATTACCATGCGCATCAAAATATTGAATTATTATTTTAGGGAACATCCTTGTAGAATACATTTCGCATGTACACACACTAATGACCACTTGTGTGTTTCCATGCAAAGCTATGGCCTCAAGCAAACCGTCGAGCGACCTGGCTTTATAAAGAATTATTGCGTAGCCTCGTAAAATATTTAGCTGTAAGAAGTGTTGGAGCCTTGCTAGATTGTTTATTTAGCTGCAAGTGGTGGTGGTGCCTTAACCGACTGAGATTTTGACTCTAAGAAGTGGTGGTGCGATAGCAATTTTTACAAATTGCAATTTTAACAGTAAAAAGTGGTAGGAAATCGCTCTTTAAGCTGTAAGAAGTAAGAGTGCCTCACCAGTGTGCGACTTCAGCTACGGGAAGTTGTTGAATTAGCTATAAAAAGTTGTTCATTTATTAGGAATTCTCAGTCTGCCTAATGACACATTAACTTAATCATTAAGGCTGATTTGTGCTTCATCTTTTATGGTCAGGTTATCCTAACTTTCGTGAAGTTCAGTAACGTTCAGCATTGTGCTGGCAAATCTAACCGCGTCCACCAACTCCAAGAAACGTGTGTGCATCAAAATTCAAATTAAGAGTGTTATTTTCAATCCCCAAGTGGCATGCATGAATAATTCCAACCGAAGCATGCAATAAGGCAAAAGTTTACATTATGCGCTAATAAACTCTAATATGATTACAAAACAACCTTGCCGTATGCGAACACTGTCACCTTTGAATCATCAAAATTGATGATTCATAGTCTTCGACAGCGTCTATATATATAAGACTCATCGGCGTAAACAAAACCCAGACTTGACTGTCTGGGCTGCTAGGCACATCATCAGTGGTCAAAGACATTATAAATCCACTGTTATCATGCTCGGGAAGGCCCGCAGACCACTCGCAGACATCGTCAACTCCTATTATTTCATTTAATTACGAATCTAATCAAAGCAATCACAGCGTTGTCTGGTATGCTTGTCCAATTTAAACTCTAGGTGTTTACGACACGATAAGAATTGAGTTTGTAAGGATGACTAGCAGACTGATGTCGAGACCAGACGCATTAAGCACTCGAGATAACATCACTGGAATTCTTTAAATGGTATTCCCCGCCTTTTAACTGCGTTTATAATAGTTGACTGCAGGGTGACATGACAATTAAGCCTGCCTAACAATTTTTTTATAAATTACTTCTGAATTACTTCATAAATTACTTTCTTCATTACTTCATAAATTACTTACATTAACTATTATTACATTATTAACTATCTTAGAATACCTTGATTTTGATTAAGTGTAGTTTATACTGCCCGAGCGTTCACTGTTATAAGTTCGCTTCCTGCCAATTTTCACGAGAGTTTCATTGATGTTGTTTCTGCAACTTATTAATTTTACGGTTCGTGGTACAGCATGAACACTGATACATTCATATTTCATCGCCATTGATAAATAAATAATCATTGCAAAGCCAATACCAGTACAACACTGAAAATTTGGGGGAAATTGTTAAAATTACCCAAAAAAGCGAATGATAGAACGAACGATTTTTATTTGGATACTAATTTATTTGGATTCAATCTAAATTGATCGAAGCTCTATATCCAAGTAAAAACACGCGTATTTTACACTTCTCTTTAACTTCACTTTTTGTTGTTTGTTTGTCTGCTACAAATCTTATAATCAATATTTAACACACTTCCACCTGTCCAATCGATCTAAAATTTTGCACACTTGTGTAATGTCGGAGACAACACATGGATCAATTGACAGAATAAATAATTTTGAAAATTTGTGCGATGTTAAGAAAAATTTATTATATGGAAATAAAATTAAAACTTCATTGTACATACAAGTGTAACATCAGAAACACTGTATTCTTTTGAAGTGTTGTCTTTAAGAATGAATTTTTAAATGCATATTATCTAGAGTAAGTACCCTTAATAAATTACGCTACCACCGTTTAGCGCATGTGCACCGTGTAGCTACATCTGAAGTAGAACAGCAGAACAGAGGAGGGAAGTTCATCAAGAGCAAGAACACAAGCGGCTGACTTCAATAAGGATCAACGAATGACCAAAACGTACGACAGGCCCTTCCAATATTTTGGTTGATGTTGCCAGAATATCTGTTACAAAATTTCTAAAACTAAAATTCATTACATATTTGCAATGCGAAGCATGATCTTATATTTCCAGAGATTGCGGTATGTTTTCTTTCTGACCAGCATAGGAAAATTAGACTCACCATAACATCTGATGAACAAGGCTGCGAGGAGCAGGAGGCGCTTCAATAGATTCATGTTGAAATTTTGGACGATTTGCCGCTCTATAATTCATACAAAATAAAATAACTTACAGAGATCTGTGGAAAATGTAAAGTGGCGATAACCTGTCAGTACTCAAGATCGGAGGGAGCCAAGTTATTTGTTTACCACGAGCTAAAATTTTAGGTAAAGAGAGCTAGGTTCTTGGTAAGCCTAGACTTCAGCTTTTAAATGCGGTGAGTTAGTTTTTGGTAAGCCAAAAGTTCAGCTTTTAAATGATGTGAGCTAGGTTCTTGGAACACAAACGAGTTGAGTTTTTAGATGAAGTGAGCTGGGTTCATGGTGCGCCACGAGTTCAGTTTTTCCTTTTTTCACTACAAGGTTACCCTAAGAACGATATGAGCTAGGTTCTTAGTTCGCACGTTTTAAATTGAGATTAACAGATAATTAATGAAAATAGAATATAGACAGCAGGAAAATACTATCAATGAATCCTCGATTAGAACCATTATCGTCAAATACTAATGTATGCGGCATATGGTAGTAGAAGCTCAATTTGAGGCGTGCTGCTCGAATAATGACAGCGTATTGTCGATTATGTTTGGGATTGAGGTTTGTTGAAGGACTGAGCGACTACCCACACCTCGCCATGACACGGAAACTGGGAAGCGGCGCACGCGTGACACAGTCTCCATGGCTGGCGAAACTGTACTGGCGACACGTCTGACAGAACTCGTTAACACTTGTATAATTACCACCGTCCACTTCTTATCAGCAGAGAACTCACCAACTGATTTATCTCCTTCTCTAAGCCTTAACAATGACTGGCAGGTAGCTATACATTGACGAACACATTTAAATCGAATGAACTCTCATTTATTATAATAGGTCGATGAATCTTTTTTCATGTATATCTATAACATGTGCGAACGTTCATGAATTTACTCGTTTTGATTAGAATGGAACCCAATTTTTTCTGTGTAGCTATTTTAATAATTATATCTCGCCGTTAATTATATATACTTTACCGACCTTTTCCCCTTACGTCTCGACTCGCGAAATGTAGCCAACTTTTGTTTCGATCTTCTACTGCATTCCATCTGTCTCTTACTTGGTTTCGACACATTTTTTACGTTCTTCCTTGTACAAAAAAAAGGAAACTTGCTGCCTGGACCAGTTTCTTATTTCCATCGATCATCTAGACCTAACGTTAGCGAGGCTTGGGTTAAATAAGACATTAGGTGTTGCCTCAAGCACCATCTCCAGCGACACTTGGAAAACGTCGATTTGTTTCTCAGTCCAAAGTCCGTGCTCCATGTTTGGTGCGGGAGCTTTACCGTAGAAAATAAAAATGGTTTCGGCGATTATTAGGGCCAATTCTGGCATGTGGTAGATTCTAGAGATCGCATTTGATTCAAGAGCTTGTATCAAACCAGTAACTCACAGTTCCAGTTTCGATGCTTTTAACTTCAATCACTCAGCTTCGAAGCCTATTAATAATTTCGGTAATTTTCGTTTTCTTTGTCATTACTCATTTTTTCGTGCAATTAGATAATTTGTAATTTATTGGTAAAGACGCAATTATTTAATAGTAGGAAAGCTAGATAATGTGTTAAATGCTATCTTCTAACTACAATGGGCGAAAAATGTTGTTATTAACTCACAATTTCACATCACTTTCAAATATTCACAAAAATTTCCTTAACAAGTTTTTCGAAGACAAGAGAATGAGTTTTACTTATGATCTTTTTGGCTTTCTCAATAAGTCGAACAACATTTTCGTAGGCCTTTTAGATTTAAATTTGTTACTGAAAGAAATTTTTAATATGTTTACAACATTTCGACTGTATCTATATATTCATTATCGAGTTTTAGGACGCATTGTGTTTGGAATTTGGATCAACATATAAGGAAAAAATGAAGTAAATAGTGTGCTACTCAAAAATGAGATTTGGATAGACTAAAGTACAAAGTCACTTTAATGGGATACTACTGGGAAATTGAAGTCCGAAAATTGCTCCGAAAAAAATTTCAACGCTCTGATAAATCCGGTGGTTTCAAGATTGATAGAGGAGTCCCTTCCTTAATGATGATGGCTTCAGCTATTGCAAGTCGAATAGCACCGGGACATCGCATGGCGATGCTGGTGCAATTTTTCTAGTAGGGGTCCTTAATCATAAAAAAGTTCATTTTTTTTATAATAGATATATACTTCAAGTCTGTTTTTATTAGAGCTGCTCACGTTATTATTTTTATTCTACGAAGCATTTGTCGTGGCGTCTGGTTTAAACGAACTTCGAGGGCACGTCACACATTAGATTAATAGCAAGCGAAAAATAAATAGAAAAGAGAAAGGATAGGGACGGATAAAATGACTAAGCACTAGATTCATATGCTCCGCGAAATAGTTCCGTCTTTAGGCAGCGACGAAACACCTGCAACGAAGGAGCCGAAGTTACGGAAGCCGGCAGACTGTTCCAGGTTCTGGCTGCGGCGACCGGGAATGCTCTGTTGCCGACGGTAGATAGACGTGTAGATGGTACGACGAGGTCCGCTGTTGATGACGAGCGCAATCGTCTTCTAGAAGGCAGATCCGACACGCGCTGCAGACCTTCCGTGAGATAAGGAGGCGCCAGACCGTGAAGGCATGGGAACGTCAGAACAGCGACCTGGAAATGCGGGCGCTTCTGAATGCGCAGCCAGTGAAGATCGCTCAATGTCGGCGTCACATGGTCGAATATTCGCTTATTACACACGAGTCGAGCAGCAGCGTTCATTATGGATTGCAGTTTATTAAGGGCCGTGGTCGGGAGTCCATAGAGTGTGACATTACCATAGTCCAATCTGGTCAGAATTGGCTCCACCACAAGGGCCTCAACGACCGGGCTCGAAAGACAGCGGCTGATGCTACGTATTCGTCGCAGAGCGACAGAGCAAGCGGTGGTGACTGTGGCAAAGGGCAACGCTGCGGCGTTAGCCGGTGCACAGTAGCCATAAATTTGGGTGTCGTCGGCGAAGATATGCGGATTCAAACTATGTGAATCGATTAAATGCCATACATAGGCAGTATATAACAGGAAGAAGATCGGACCGAGAACTGATCCCTATGGTACGCCGCAAGTGACCAACGGTAGCATAGAAAAAGAGTTCCCGCGTCGAACATATTGTCGAAAAGTTCCCGCGCCGCAATATCGCCGCAACCACTAGTGCCGCAATATCGCCGTGGTCTAATGCGCGCAGAATGTCTAAAAGCACCTTCAGCACAGCTGTTTCCGTCGAGAGGAGATCACGGTATGCAGACTGGAGGCGAGGCATGAGACCGGACTGCTGAAGATGTTTGTTCAACTGTCGGGCCACAACACGTTCCAAGAGTTTCGACAAAATAAACAGGTTGGAGATGGGCTTCAGTCGACGACGTTGCACGTCGACTCTCTGGCGCCAAAAGACTCTCATTTTAGATCGAATAAGGTCGACATAATTGCGCCGCGCCAGGTGGAGGCCGATTGTTGCGTCTGTTTGCCCGGTAGACAGCCTGCTGGTGCAGTCGAATCCCTCGTTTCGATACTCGACCTCCATCGTCGAACCATGGGTCGAAGACTCGTTGGGGTACCCGAACTGAGCGTGTAGGAATGTGGTTATCGAGTGCAAAGGTCAGCTCGGTGTTGTAGAGTTACACGAGGTCATTGACTGATACTGCCAACCATGAGTCAAGCCGACATAGTCGGGACAACTGCAGCTTTTCGCGTAAGACAACGTCGTCGAGACCGCGCCACGGACGACAGGTAATGGTTTGTACGCTGGCACCGGGCTCACACATGGCACCGTCCACGGAAGTAGTCGATGGTCGGATATTGCGATCTCGATGATGTCGACTGGCAGACTTTGAAAGTCGGCACGCGTGATGACAACCTCTATAGCAGTCCGCCCATAGAATAGAATGGAATGGTATAGAATGAAAGAGAAGAGACTGGACTGAAATGGAATAGAATAGAAGTGTTGGCACTAAAGAAACAGGCCCACGAATCCTGCCTTTTGAACCCGATCTCTCCAGAACTGACGATTGATTGAGATAGCTGCTGGACTTATTGCAAGGCCTGTAAGGTGCTAGGCATTTCAATACTGAACATATGCAGAGCTGGGCAGCGCTACTTTGAAATGTAGCGGCGCTACCGCTACCACTACATGTTCTTAATGTAGCGGGCGCTACCGCTACCGCTACACCCACTAGATTGTAGCGAGCGCTACCGCAACCGCTACAGTAAAATGTAGCGCCGCTACATTAGCCGCTACAATGTCCAAAATTATTGTAAATCTCTAAATATTTATTGTTCTGCTATTGGGATTTACTCATAAACATTTAATGATAATAAAACATTTTCAAAACATACAGTGGGGGGAAATAAATATTCGTACACTTGAAAAATCGTATTTTAATGTATGTAAGTATACAAACTTAACAGGAAAAGTGATTTAAATTATGTATAGAGACGCATAGTATTCAAAAATACTATCAAAAGAAATTAAATCTCAATGCAACAAAAAACAATNTAGCGGTAGCGCTGTAGCGGCAAAACCTCGTATCGCTACTTAAATATGTAGCGGGCGCTACCGCTACCGCTACAATTGCTTAAATGTAGCGCCGCTACCGCTACATGTAGCGCGCTACTGCCCACCTCTGAAAATATGCTCCTGTATAGCTTTGTCTGCTCTGTTCTTGAAAACGTTCATACTCGGGGCGTCAACGATGCCATCTGGGCGGCTGTTCCACATGTCGGCGACTCGGAGCGAGAAGAAATGTTGTCGAATGGGTGTGTTACAACGCAGTTTTTTTAGTTTGTAGCCGTGGCCCCCGGGTGGGGTGTTCTTGTTTCAAATTCAAGGACTCTTTCTGGGACCTTGTATAAACCGTGGGCTTACTTGAATACTTCAATGAGGTCACCACGCAGACGTCGATAACAGAGGCTTAACTGGAAGCTCCATAATCTTTAATCTTACTTCATAAAGACTGCCTTTTAATCCCGGAATTATCCTTGTTGCACGTCTTTGACTAAATTTTTGTCCTTTTCTAGTTTTGGTAAC